ATGATGTTGCTCCTTTTAAGATTAGGAAAGGAGGGCATAGGGCAGAACCGTGGATGTCTGATGAGACCCAGGCCTCCAGGCAGGCCTGCAGGAGAGCTGAGCGAAAGAGGAAGCAAGAAAAACTTCACATGTCCTATGAAATTTATAAAAAGTCACTTTTTGATTACCAGGAAGTGGTACGACAGGCTAGGATCAGATATTATGCCAACATTGTGGAATCAAATTCTCATGATCCACGCACTCTTTTTAAGGTAAGTGATTCAGTACTGGAAACTGCAACTTCTGTTTCGATGCCCCGGCCTCTTAACCTTTTTCTGGATTTAATTTTTGCTTTTACTCTCCTCTTTTAATTGATTTTATGCTGGTTTTATGATTGTTATATTTTATTCTGATGGTTTTATGTTTTTATTGTGTTGTGTTCATCACCTTGGGCGTCTGCATTGGTCGCAGAAGGGGCTTTATAAATAAATGAAATGAAATTTCTGATTATGATTGATCAATCTGTGTTTTTCATGCAGGCTGAACATGAAAATAGTCTCCTACATCTATCTCCTGCATTAGCTTCTAAATTCTAGGATTTGCAAAGCCTGACAGATCTACGTCACACTGTCACTTGGACTAACAAATATTGTGTATTGAAGGGAAGGCTGTTGTTTTAGTATCTGGAGTCAGCAGATAATGACTTTACTAGCAGAAGCTAATTGTTAGCATTAGAACCTCCTCAACATGGCAGAACTCCTCCAGGCTTGTGTAATTTGTGGAGATAAAACATCAATCTTGCAGAGCAAGCAGAGTCAGTGGTAGAGTTGCATTGCTGTTATCCAATCCGAGGCGAGATGTCCAAATATCAGGCAATAAGACTCCAAATCCTGTCATGTTAAGCTCTTCTCTGATGTTGCAGGCTTTTCCTTGCTGAGCCAAGAGTTTGTAGGCATTTTTGAGCCCTGAGTACAGCCGGCAAGGCATTGATTTCTACTAGAGACAACTGCAAAAATATTGATTATGTTTATGTTTATGTTTATTCATTTGGCAGATGCTTTTATCCAAAGCGACTTACAATTTATTTAACTTGTAGGGCGTGTTGTGACCTGTGGGGGAAACCGGAAACGTGATTAAACACGTGAACTACATATTTAAAATAGAGTCCTATAACGGCTCATTCTGGAAGGTATTGAAATTGTCAAAGATAAAGCTGCTGAATTTGCTTTATGTGAGAGGAATTTAGCAATGAAAAGTGCATGAGTATGTTTGTATTTACCATAAATCTATTATAATGTGAGGAAAAAATCATTATACAGTATGCCCTCTTTAAAGGAAATGCACAGATCTTGGGGAAAAGAAATTTGATGTCCCACTTCAACCCATCTCTCGTTTCTGTAATTACATCAACATTTTTTCACAATTACAATTCAAAACACTTTTACGTAACAAATTGGTTTTGATGTTCAACAGAGGCTCCATCATCCATCCATGTGCAGCAATCTAACCGAGATGTTCACATTATGATATTTCACTCATGTGCAGCCTGAATCAACAAAACTCCTTCATCAATAAGAGTCTGCCGGCAGCTTTTTCTGCCTCATCAAGGCGAGCAGTCACCCCCATATGCAGCTAATTAAGGTGTCAAAGCAGGCAGCATTGTTTCACGCCGGCACGTTAACACATACATGAAATTATGATGTGAACTCTGATCGACTCTTATCAAAGTGTTGTATTCTCTACAATTTCAAGTCTTTATTTATTGATTTCATACATTGTGTTTTACATCCTTATGGCTAATTGCCTGATAAAAACCGAATATGAAAAGCTAGAAAAGAGCAAAACCAGAAGATAAAAGTGTTTATGTATGCTAAGGTGAAATCTGTAAGCAAAGTATATAATATATAAATATGTATTCCTTTAGATTGATAAATAAATCAAACATCTTCATATTTACCTTAAAAAGAAGCATGAGTTGGGGAAAATGTTGATGCTGCATCAAAGCCTTTCCAGTAAGTTCCTCTTTTGTTGTTTGGAGTATTTGAGGATTCGCACCAGTGAAAGCAATTTATTTGTTAGATTTTTTTCCCCCCAAACAACCAAAGTGGGAAAACTGTGGCTGATAGTAGGGAATATGCTTGTCCTTTTGGACACACAATGCAATTATCTGGCTGCAGAAAACACACGCAGCACAAGATGATTGATCATTGTTTCCTAGTGTGGCAGGCAAAAGCTTCCTTGAAGTTTAAAATGACAAAAAAAAAAAAAAAAAAAAATGACAGTGGTGCGCCACTCTGTTTATTTTGTGCTTTTTTCTTGCACTCTGGGTAATTCTGCTCTGTTTGTTTCTGGATGAAATTAATGGTTGTGTCTCTGAGTAATATTTTCCTCCAAAGAGACTTTAAGCAAGTGCTGTAAAGATAGAGGTAGATGAAACACGTGCAATGTTCAATTTAATAATCAATTTTGTCCCATTAAAGTCCTACTGCTGCCAATTATAAATGGCAAGCATCTGCCACGTTAGCCTAAATATGTTCATTTTAGCATGTCTTTCCCAACAAGGTGAAAACACAGAAGAAAACATTTCTTATTTGGTGTGATAGTCTTTTAAATAACCAGGGCCATGATAAATATGTGTGTTTCGCATCTTGCACACTTTTATTAATGAAGCAGCTAAATGACTAATCCAGTTTTTGTTTGCATATCTCTTCATTTACTGACCTTATTAAGTCCTTCTTTATGCTGCAGTGGTCAGAGCATTTTTTTCATCCAATAAGTGAACAAACCCTTTCCACTGAGCGTTTTTCCATTCTGCAATGCCACTGCCTGCAGGCTGCAACAGTTCAATTGAGTTTTAATAAACTGGCTTTCTGTAAGTCGCTCCTTTCTGCTTTCAGCACTATTTGTTCACACAGCCCTTGAAGATGTGTATTTTATAATAAGTTTGTTAAAATGTAAAGTGGGCCAAGAACCAAGAGGAAACTCAGGACTTCCATATATGTGAGGAGCGTGTGTTCAGTCACACGGCGCAACAGCCTGAACAACAACGAGTTTAGATGTGCACATCAAATCATGTTACGCTGCAGAACATTAGTAGTTCTTAATTAAAATTATGATATCAACAGAGAGGAAAAAAACACATAAAAATGTTTTGAATTACGCCAGCGGCTGAAACTGAAATCACGATAAAGTTCAACAGTAATTTGTGACGTATTTATGTAACGATCTGTTATGACAAAGTGCCGACATTTTGATTTGTACATTTTATAAGTCTGGTAATGTGAACTAAGATCAAAAGAAATATTGAAGCTGCAGTCAGTGGCTCATTAGGGCCATCCCGGCAACCACACACACACACACACACACACACACACACACACACACACACACACACACACACACACACGCACGCACGCACACACACACGCACGCACGCACGCACACACACACACACACACACACACACACACACACACACACACACACACACACACACACACGCACATATGTCCTTAATTACATTCTTCATTAGACAGGCAGGCAAAAATACAGAATTAAAAGTTTCAACTTAATTTACTTAGTTGAAACGTTTTAGAACAAACATGATTAAAGGGATATTCTGCAAAATTTTTCATATATTTTTAGTCCTTTTCTTGAGGCAATATGTGCTACAATGAACCTGTTTAGGGTTAACGAAATGTCACTCAGACCCCCACCACCCCTGTGGCCAGAATCCCGCATTTGCAAATTCAGAGTGCTTGTCCGACCTGCTGGACTTGGGAAAGAATGAAGATGACATACTTGGCACTGCAGTCTGCTTCCAGCACATTTCCTGCATGTTTTATATCACGAACACAGATGATTTGTTTCATTTAGTGATGAATCACCCCTGTAGACACTAATGAAGGCTGGGGAGACGTTTGAGCTGTTAGATGAAGGTGTTAAAAAAACAAACACTCAGCGAGGGAATACATTTAGCTTTCATTTCTACTAAATGGACACTAGGGGGTGCTAAAAGCAAGCCCAAACTGCCTAGCCACCCTTTACATTTTTGTTAATAAAAAAAAAAAAGACGATGCAATAAAAACAATTACCAAAAAACTAGAAATGAAATTTATCCATCCATCCATCCATCCATCCATCCATCCATTTTCATCCGCTTATCCGGAGTCGGGTCGCAGGGGCAGTAGTCTAAGTCGCGACAAGCCCAGACTTCCCTCTCCCCAGCCACTTGGGCCAGCTCTTCCGGGGAAACCCCAAGGCGTTTCCTGGCCAGACGAGAGACATAGTCCCTCCAACATGTCCTTGGTCTCCCTTTAGGCCTCCTCCTGGTTCGACGTGCCCAGAAAACCTCACCAGGGAGGCATCCAGGAGGCATTCTGACCAGATGCCTGAGCCCAACTGGCTGATGAAATTTAGATAAATTAAAATAAAGATTAAAGATCTTATTAAGTAGTAATCTTTCATAATAATTTACATTTCCTCTACAGCAAAACAATTCATCTACACAAGCCTAGCGTTGACCAACAGAGTTGCATATCCTCAAGAAGGAGCTGTAAATCAATGAGAATGAGCTCCAGTTTTCGTATAGACCCGCTCCCATGTATTTTAGAACAGATTTTTATGGGTATATGTCATGAAACTGCCAATATTTTTCAACAACTGGGCATCTATTAATTCATTTACTACATTTCCATTCATATTTCCTGAGATTAATGGTATAAACTACACATTGTCACTTTTAACTAAAACTAAGTCTAAGAAATAGAAAAATATAAAAACACCAAATAACAATTTTGTATTCAGTCATTGTGACCATAACTGGCATCTAAAACACTCATGCACATTTTGGAAGAGTCCCTGCACTGCCTACTTTGACTTATTCTTAAAACATAACTAAGTGTGAAATAATTACACGATATAAAGAAAACTATTTTTTCTAGAATACATGCTTGTATGAAATTGGTGTCACGTGCTTTCTTGTAACAGTTGTATTATGTTCTTTATTATTTTACTCTCAGGTCCAAGGGAAATGAATGGCATCAGTAAAAAGTCCCAAGATGGCAACAGGGACCTCTTCACACACCTACCAACACAAGACACAGAGAGTGAAGTCCATTCAGTCACCACCATCTCACCGATGCACATGCCCAACCACCAGCCGATCCTCAAGGGCCTGCTGCTTCCCGAGCATCTGCTTACAAGAGACTTCCAGGGAGACCAGCATTTCTTTTGGAAGGATGGCTCTGCGGCTGCGCACCCCACCATGCCAGGCTCATTGTCCGTTCCAAACGCGGAAGATGCTGTAACTCGAATCGTATCCCACGAGGATGCCCCAGCCTTCTCAGACATTGCTACTACAGCCACTGCAGCTGCCACTTCCCCGCTGACCACATTTTCCGCCACAACACCAGTCCCACCTGTGTCTCGTCCTCAGAGGAAGTCAGCCAAGGAGAAGACCAAGAGTTCAACCAAGGTGGAGCTGACCACACACTCCCTAACTACTCAAGTGACACCATTTAGTAGAGGCAATCCAGTAGTTGGCAAGGATTTTCCTATGGATGCCACCCATTCACCCATGTCTACAATGTTGGACAAAGGTCATGGGAGGGACACGGTAATCAAAAGCAAAACCAGTCCGGATCATCACCAACAAGAAGAAGGTACCAGCACAGGATCAACAACGGTCATCACAACGACAACCATCACCACCATGCAAACATCAGGTAAGTGTGTTTACCCTTCAACAAAACGTTCAAAGACATTCTACTTGTACCTTCTGGTGTCTTTTTGTGTCTGGTGGAAATTCTGAGTGGGGATTTTTGCCTTAATTTATCAGAAGCATCCCAGAGGAGCAGATTTGAAGCATCCGGTCATCGACTTCATGCCTGTTCATTTTGCATTCAGCACACAGCACCCTGTCCCTTCACTAGGGATAACAGAGTTGCTCATGTGTCAAAAACAATCTGATTTTTCCCCCCTGATGTGTCCTGCCTGTCCTTTCCACTGGCCACAGAGGGCTGAGGGCCCAGATAAGCGGTATCAAAGAGGATATCTGCAGAGATAGTTGGAGGGTTTTGGGGGGCACACAGACACAGGTGGGCTGTCAGAAAGATCACTGGTCTGGGAAAAAAAGAAATCACTTTCATTTTCGCTCTCTCCCGCAGAGCCATGCAACATGAATTTCACTGATTCAGAAGGTAACGTTGAAATCCTGCAGCCACTCGACTCTGGTGTGGAGTGCAGCTACTTCATTACCGTCTACCTGGGATACGGCATCGAGGTTCAGGTCAGTCATAAAGACTCATTAGAATAAGTGTCAGTTGCTTGACTTGATTCTTTTTTTATTCACGAAGTTATGCAAATTCACTATTTATATGGTTTTATTTTGGTCTCCGTTAACGCAAAAGGAGTCATTTGAGAGCTCCAACGTTTAGCTGCAAACGTGCTCCGCTGTTTGTTGCAAGGCAGGCAGGGAACAGTTTGTTTTAACTCCAAACAAGCTGTCAGTATCTGCAAATGCTCCTGACAGTGAGCTGAGAGACACGTCAAAAAAAAGATAAATGTGTGAAATGTGAAAAGCTAAAATGTCAAATGGTAAAAAATATATAAAGACTCTAAAGTTCAATAAAAGCAATGAGGCGGAGCCACGCCAAGTCAAAAAAACATGGTTTATTGTTAATACATAAATGTTAATGATGCCAATTCTAGCCTGAGCTGCTTTAGAGAACACATATTAAACTTACATTATGTCGCAACGCAGTGTTTCATTTAACGAGCGAATGGCTCTGACATGTTTTGGTGGCGGCAGAAGCGGGATTTGCTGGTCTTTTGTCCCTGGATGAAGACAGGCAGTGAATTACTGGGGTGAGTGGGTGGATGAGGGCACCAAAGATGAGGGGTTGGAGGGTGGGGAGTGGGGTCTGTCTAAGGTTGAATGTTTGCTCGGTAAGTCTATGCACAAAAGGTTATAAAAATTAACTGTCAGTGTGAGCGTGTTCCCCGGCATTTACAATTCCTCACACACCTCATTTACCACTGGAGACTTGAAAATGCGTGAGCTTTGTCTTGCTGCCTCTGGAAGGCTAAGATAAGTCTTGACAGAGAGTGTGTTTGAGAGTGTGCTTTTCTCTGAAGACTTCCTCTGGGTAACTTAAGTAAATCTTGAAGCACTTATAAGCAGACACACACTCACCTGCATGCACACTCACACAGTCACATGCATTTGATGTATCAGCTCTCGGCTTTCGTAGCTCCTCCGGTGCATTTGGTGGAAAATTTCTTTTGTGACTTTAAAAACTGCAACTGGGCAAGATTGAAACCCACGAGGAAGCAATTCATTTCAGCGCTGTGCAGACCGATGGGGGCCGCGGTGTCCCTCTCTCAGATAATCAAAGGGAAGTTGTTTGATGCGAATGACGAGCCAACGCTCTGTTTCAGGAGAGGGATACATTTAACTCATTCATGTCTCACAACTCTGTGAACATCAGTCTGTGGAACTTTTCTTCCTCCAAAAACGTTCACATTTTCTGATAGGATGAGCTTGGATTGGATATGTGGAGAAGTTATTAAGTTTACAGTCTAAACTTTAGACCATTTTATTCATTTAGAACTTCATTTATCTCATAACTCGATTGGTTTTACCCAATCTGAACTCTCTGAGCTGTTAAACTTTCACCTGCTGGAGGATTTCGTGTAGCTGAAATTATTGGGATGTTGACATCTTCTCAGTTTTCAAAGGAGTGTGAACAAGTTGTGTGTTTGTGTATCTTCTAGACAGTTTTAAATAGCCGTTAGTGTTGGATCTTAATGGGATGGTGCAAAAGTGGATCTGTGTAAAGGTGTCTGTCTTGACTGATATAGAGAACTCTAGAAAAACCCCAGTTTGTAGGAATTGAGATTAGTTCTATTAGAAGTGATAAGCTAATTGTTGGTAAAAGTGGCCATGACAAAGTGAGAGTGAACATTTTCACCAAGTATAAATTACACAATTTTTTAGACAAGTATAAATGTGCATGTGTGTGCGTGTGTGTGTGTGTGTGTGTGTGTGTGTGTGTGTGTGTGTGTGTGTGTGTGTGTGTGTGTGTGTGTGTGTGTGTGTGTGTGTGTGTGTATAATGAATCACATGCACGGAGAAATCTTTACATACTTATAAGTTATCAAACATGACAAAAGTATTTAGTAACCCAGCAAATACTTGTCCTTTAATCACGTTCCTCCCTTCTTTTTGACAAAACTTTTTAACCTTTTCCTGGGAACTTCCCTTGAACTTGGTCAAACAGAAGCTAGCTCCACTTCACCTCTTAAACATTTGATTGGTAATGATAATATAACAATTATTAACTTTTATATTAAATTTATTAAGCAATTCTATAATAATACAACAATAATCATTCTAAATAAAAATCCCACTTGACACTTAAGTACATAAATAATTCATGAGCAGACAGAAAACCAGATTTAAGACTGCAGATTGTTTTGGAAAATGCTAATCTTGCTAAAGAGATACAGCCACTACAAACTTAGAAATGTGTGTATCACATACGATAAGGTGGGCCTTAAGGTTCACTTCTCATCTAGTCCCATCTGGCCCATTTGCTGAGTGGTCTTTTTGTCTTTCCCGTGCTTCTTTCCCATCTTTTGACTGGATTCCTGTCAATGACATTCTGTATCTCGTCTTTTATTCACACACAAAAATGTTGACCCAGTTAGTCATCATTTTAGTCTTTATCCAAAACTACTTAATACGTTTTTGTTTCATTCTCATCTAGAAAAATTATATTTGTGGTGAAAATAAAGATGAAAATATTTCTTCAACAAACTCAGAGCAGATCTCCATTTCTCCAAACAGAGGTCGATTAAGGTGCCATCTAAAGCAGTGGAAACGGTTATTTATTATCTTTCAACAAACCCATTTCAATATATTTGACTTAAAAAGCACAAAAGAAAACCAGAAAAATAATGTTACAAAGAAAAAAATTTAAGTTAAATGTCCTAGTTGTCAATCTTGCAATGATCCTGCAAACTCAATCAATTTTCTTGGTCTTGGTATGCCAACCACATGCTGACATTTCACTGACAACTCTGAGTTGATGAGCTGTGAGGAGAGGCATTATGGTTGAAGAGCGCGCTCGCAGTTTGGCAGCCAGCCTTCGTTATGGAACTGGGTTTTCATCATAGATGACAGTCCAGCAGTTTGCAAGGGCGGAGCATGCTAATCAAATTAAAGGAATAATCTGGAGGACTGATCTGAGAACTCAAAAACGTATTTGTTCATTTTGTGTACAAACTGTTTAGTCAAACATCGTGTTCAAAAAGAAAACTGTCAGATTAAAAATAAAAACACCGAGTGCAAACACATATATGGGTAAAATATAAGCTCAATGAGACCTTTCCTGTATTTAGTTGATGCTATTTTTAGCTACCTGGCAGCTCATAGCCTCGCTGTTCAACCCCTCTAACAGCGCATAATGCATGGCTCCAGCTGCTGAATCTGACCACGGCGTGATTTATTTGTAGCGTGATTGTGGGAATATTAAGAGGCTGGTACATCACAACTTTCTGCAGAGAGATAAATAATGTCAGGAAAACTGAAAACAGTTTTAAAAAGCTTGCTCATCCCTCGTGTCTCACAACAAATTCACCATATATACCACTTAAGAGGGAGATATTAACTATTGATTTTTGTTTGACATTTCACAGCTTTTATAGCAAAGTTGGTAATGATGAACAGCTTTAAAAAAACAAGTGGCGTTAAAATGAAAAAGGCTTATTTAATGATTTTATTGATGTCTTTCTATGTGTTTAAATAAAAATGAAGCTTTTATGTTCACTGGCCTTGTTGGATTAATTTAATTCAAATTCAAATTCAAAGATACTTTATTAATCCCAGAGGAAAATTAGAGAATAGAAACAATTACTTCATATTTAAACTTTCAACTTTACAAAAGCAATTTTAACTATTTAAATAAATATTTTGAACCAGTGTTGATTAAAATGTGTTTAATTTTTTAACTTATTGATAGGATTTAGATTTTTATTGTAAATTTGTTTTACTTCAAGTGTTTACTCTCCCACACTTTAATTTCAAAGGGAAGTGTTTTGGTGATATTTCCATAAACATCTCCTCTTCTTCAAAAGCCATCTTTGCAATAAGGTTTTAGTGTGGGACAGATGGGGGTTTTCTAGCGCTGGGCTGTGGCATTAAAGTGTTTAAATCTGTTTTGGAGCTTTTTCTTTTTTAAATTTCATCAAATAAATCTTGTTGGGTAAGCTAGCTATCAGCTCTTTCCAGGCCATCTGTCCTGCTCTGAATTCTGCATCTTTCTTTCACCGATTTACCTGCCTGGGTCTCGAGGAGTTTTCCTTTGAGGTTCTGCGAGCGTTCTGATTGGTCCGTTTAATGGAACACCCCGCACACTTCCTGGAGAATAATGTGGTAATGTGCTGGGAGCACTGGGAATAGCTTCTCCCACTGCCACAGAGGCTGATTACAACAGCATTCCCATCTGCTGACAGCTTCAAAGGGAGATCATTCATAAAAATGATGCAGAGATTTTTGGGTTTTGTTTTCTTCCCTCCTCACGCTGATGCTTTAAAAAGTGCATCTCTCTTTCTACCCGTCAACTTATTTTAATGTGTTTTATTTTTCAAACTTGAATCTATCGTTTCAAATTTTAATTAAACAACTTGTGAATAAATGACTATTTTGTGACAGTTCAGCGGATTTATAGCTGTTTTTAATGGATGTGATCTTCATGTTTTTTTTTTTTTATCTTCACATACCTTGAGGTGTCCTTCTGGAAGATGGGGATTCAGGTGGTCTATTAGGGGCTATTTAAATGCAGCTCAACTTATTTTTTTACTACAGTTTAAACTTTCTATTTTCACAGATTTTATTCAATAAAGATGGAATTTCTAGCATTAGCCACACATTGTTAGCCTAGCAATCTGTTTAGTCTGACCACGACCCATAGACAGAGCTCGTGAGACGGAATCTTCGGTTGTCTTTCAAAATGTCTTCACATGTGATTGGACAGCACTAGGACCAATCGGAGCAATGGACAAGTTGAGGTATTTATTGCTACGGAAATCTATCAATTTAGCAGTGTTAGGGTCTGATTTTGTGACTCGTTATGCACCAAACCGGGCGTTGAGGTCTGCTGATTGCCTGCTGCTTCGCGTTCCAACAATGAAATACAAAAGGCGGGGGCAGCGTGCTTTTGTCTATGCTGCTCTTCCTCTTTCAGTGAGGCTGGCACCATCCCTCCTCTGATGTTTTCTTCATCA